GTCCATATCTTTATTAGTCTCCGAGAAATCGAATTAATATAAAAAAGTCTAATATTTTTTGAATAGTTGATAAGTCGGCCCCTTATTAATATTTTGATCTAAAACTCTGCACAGATGTTGACCTCTGTATAGGTAACAAGTCTACCAACTTTGAACAAAATTGGTGATTTGAAGTTTTAAACTGTTTGAAATAGCCAAGAATTGCCCAGACTTATCTTTATTTAACAAAAAATCTTAAATGGATTTATACAAGAAAATTAAGTGCAGAAGTAATGGATTGTTGATACTGACTGGACTTGAGGTAGAAATGACAGAAAATCAACCACTGGATATGTAATTAGAATATTTGGAAATGTTATATATTGAAAGTTTAGAAAACAAAGTAGCGTTACTAAATCGTCAACAAATGTAAAATATGTAGTTTTATCAGAATTAATTAGTGAAGTCAAACTTATTAAATAAAAGTTTTCAGAGTGAATATAGAAAAACCGATAAATATTTTTGAAGACAACTCACAGAGCAGTATAATGTACTGTATACAATGCAAAACTTATACGATGCACTTTGAAATTTTGGTGAGTGCTGAGTTGCGTAATTACAACTCAGCAGTCATCAGGTATACAGGCTCCGAAGTCAAGCGTTTAGTTTTAATGTCTATGGGCTTATGAATATTGTAAGATCATATGTATGTAATGCCACTCATCAAATATAATAAATGCATATAAAGAATAATTATCCCTTTTACTCATACTTTATTTCAACAATAACACTTCTCGGTACACTAATCAGTTACGATTTTCGTCTGAGCAGATACAGTTCACCACATTAATGTGCCATTTAAAATGTTACCCAATCTGAACTCACTGATTTTGATGATTCTTGTATATGTTGTAGTACATCAAAAAATCAAGAGAATGATATTTTTTTTATCGGTGAAAAAACATATTAGTAGGTAAACTAGGCAGGCCACAGATCATGGGGGGCCTCAGATCATTGGAGGGGGGGGGGGGGGGCAGATCATAGGAAGGGGCCTTAAATCATGGGGGGGGCTCAGATCATGGGGAGGTCTCATATCAGTGATCTGCAACTCTTAGATCAGGTGCCTCCCTCTCCTCCTGAGATCTACGGCACTCTTAGATCAAATGCCCCCTATCCTCCTGAGATCTATGAGATCAGGCGCTCCCGCCGCCGCCCCCTCTGTAATCTGAGGCGTATGAGCTATCAGATCAGCACTGTTAGATCATGCGCAAGAGTCCCTCCCTCCACCCGCCCGCCCAATATGAAATGCGTTTTAAATATTAAAATAAATTTATGTATTTAATTGAATTTAATTAATTTGACGCAATTGATTTACGTGTAATGCACAGATTTAGTGAAAAAAATTATATACTGTAACGGGGTTGATAACCGTCTTTTTAATTATGCGAGCGATCACATCGAAGAGCGCGCGGGATTACCTACACGTTCAAATTCGAAAACCGGAGAGCAGGAGGGAACGGGCGTCAGTCAACCAACTTTCTACTAGCGCGAAATAATAACATCGAAATTACAGACAATATCACATGTGAAATCGTTTATTTCCTCTTATCTCTACAATGTATTAGGCCCGCGTGTTTATGTTTACAAAGCGCACGCGCGACAATAACATGCAGTGTCGGATCGGTCGCCGCTCTTCGTTCGCCGAGTTAATACATGCACGCTTCTTATGGAATACGAGAGATTAGTTAATAGCAATCATAGCAATCGCGAAATTAAGCTGGCCAGCTTACCTTATTAGCAGTCGCACAGTGAACGAGAGAAAAAGTTCGCACTCTAGTTTCGGGAAAGTCTGTCTTTTTCACGAAGTATCTCGCGTGTTCGATTTCGCCCACGATGGCGAAACCCCACACTCACGCACACTTGCACGCACTCGCTCTGGTCTGGCTCAGGCACCGCTTCTTTCGATTAATTCAGTTGATTCGTCTCTGCACTCCAAGAAAACTCGGGAAAACTCTTATTGATAGTTGCTGCAGCTGAGTGTGCGGGTTCTAATCTTCCACTGGTTCATTTTCGGATTCGCAGGCGTTCTGTTCCGTCTCGTGCCGAATTCCCTCATTACATTTGCCCCAACCGGTAGGTGCTGCCCTCGCAGGCAGCCGCATGGTTGGACTGCTAGCGCTAATAAGACGTTTACCGTCACAATACTAATTATTAATTCATGAAATAGTGGAGTAGAAGAGGGAGGGTAATAGTAAATATACACATTGTTTTTTCTTAAATAAAATTTCTTTTATTGATAAAAAATAAATCTTATTCTACAAGTCATTTACATTAAAAGAATATTTATAGAAATCTTTCAATAATTTTATCGCTCTCTTTCCAATCCATGCAGCAAACATTTAAGTAAAACTTTTTCATAAATTTAATATTTTGATGTGCGCATGTCGTTACGTATTTACCGTTATGATTAGGACACACAGTAATATTTCATATTTTCAAATTTTCATATTTTCAAATTTCAAATAAGATTTCATATTTTCAAAAGGGGAATATCCCCAATCATTCAAGTCGAAAACTTTGAGGCCATATCGTTCTAACCACTCTTTTTTCAGATCTCCGGAAACAAAAATATTTGTAGCATCTTTAAGCGTCTCTGTGATGATGAATTTATGCTCTTCGTACTTGAAATCATCAGAGTTCCATTCTACTAAACCCAACTACGAAGCCTCATTGAAATGCTTCTTTCTCTTTTCAGAAAATCAAGTAGACGAATTTTTTGAGTATTCGATGCAGTGACGTATGGCATAAGCCATTCGATGTGTGTTATAACAATCTTGAACTTTTCGTTGATTGTTTCTATTTCCACTAATTTTGTTGTTTGGATAACGGCCTTTAAATCACTGCTTGATCGTGTGAGAATTAGTTCATGTTTCATGTTTACCAATACTTTGCGATAATCTGCAGCAAATCCGAGGATGAAGTTTAAAGGAATAGTGACATCGAAATATCCTTCGTCATTGATTATTTTCTGATCATTTTCTGTTATACATCCGGGATTTTCAGCAATCCAATTTAGACTTCGATTAAGTGATAGCCAATTTTTCATAATAGTTGTAGACCAACGTTTTTACATTTATCGATTTCTATTGCATTTATCTCATACCTAATTTCCTCAAACAAGTGACAGATGGCGTTGTTCACAAATAGAGTATTCGTTAAGACTGCCTTCTTATCATCGCACAATCTACCACAAATACGCAATAAGATACGAGATGGTAAAAGACACAGGTCTTGATGTTGGATTGATATGAGAATTTCATCGCTATTTTTGAAAGATGTATTGGTGTACGGTTGATGAGTATGAATCTCATAATGAGCCAAGGATTCATCAAAGGTGACGGGTGACTGTATTTCTAGAACGTTCTCCATTATTTCGTTAAAAGCAGCAAAAAATAATGCAATTTACTTTCCACCAGAAATTACTTTTAAGCTGAGACTTTTTAAGAACTTTATGCTTTGACGCGTGAATCCTTTCGCTTTTCAATGACGAATGACACTCGGAATTCGCCGAGTTGTCGCTTTTACTTTCAATCGACAACTGATGGTTGGATTGTATATTTTACTGCTTATATAGCCACCACTACTATTTAAATTGTAAACGATTTCCACCATGTACTTTTCAGGTGTAATCTAATTGTTATCACTTCACCTCAAAAGTTTATTAAATTTCCGTCTTGGTCAACGATGCGTAATTGTAAATGATTTATACACTTTACGGTAACTGGAAGATAAATCACATTTGAAGGAACTTCGATAATTTTATATCCAGGTGGTACTGCAGGAAAAAATTCATGAATATCGTGAACCTTACTTTCATTCATATAGTATATGCACCTGAGGTAATGTTACACTCGACTCTCAGAGCATTTACTTTGAGAATTTTTACTGAAAGATCCGAATGGTGAGAGTTATTTTTTTTCTAGTTTACGCTGTGCAAATCTCAGTACTCGACTAATGGAAGCTTGTGGACGGAAATCGATATCTTCTTAACATGGAGGATCATCAAAAAGAAAAACATGTGCATTGTCAACTTGTGAAAGCTCAAGATACAATAAGAAAGAAGTATAATCTACTGAAGCATGCTCGAGATTGCACTGATAAAGTCTTAAATAAGACATTCAAGCTAATAATTGATTCGCTAAATACTATAGTAAGCGAAGTGGAACCAATCAAAAATTTAGTAGAACCAATCAAGAATTTTGTGAGTAAAAATCCTTCTCCTCCTCCTCCTGAAGTTTTTTAGTTAAAAAGACAGAGTTTTTCAAGAAAATACCACAACATGAAAATAATTATTTTGGTGCTGCTAGTGTTGATTATGAAAATCTATAGTCTAGCAGTGAAGATACTGATGATACAGTTCCGCACAACAATACACAAATTTATCACAGTTTATCTGAATTAAGCGAGGATGAGAGCTTGCCTGTCGATAAGTACATAAATGCTTTGAATAAAAGTGACTCTAGTTTTTTGAATTTGATTTATGGTGTGCGCAAAGAAAAAAGTGGAGCTTATGTGCTTGATAACTCCACAGTGACTTTTAATGAGAATACCGTAAGCGTTGATGATTTCAAGTATCCGAAAAGAAATTGTTTAACGGAGTTACTTGTGACAAAGCAGCCTGATAGAAGTATAATAACACAAGATGATCTCAAGAGATATCGAGAAATTTTGGAAAAGTCTAGCGTTCATAGAAAAAGCATGAATCCATATGAGCCTATACGAGCACATAGTAGTCACAAATTTAATAACACCATTGGTCCATTATTTTTTGGAGGGCTTAAATTCACCACGTGCAATAATATTTAGTTGAGTAAGATCCATCTGTAAAAGAAACAAATTAGTAACTGTTACAGACACCATCATAGCATACTTGAAAAGTAATTTGAGTAACTTAGTTGAAATAAATAAATCAGTGATAAAAATAGATACTCAAAATATAGAAGTAGACGTGTCGTCCGCCCATGGAGCATCAAAAAGTGGTGGAAGAGCTTCACAAACCAGCCATACGTAATTATCCACGACGCAAGTACGATATTCGAGGAATAGACGAGACCTGGCAGGCCGATCTCGTCGGTATGCAGGCTTATTCTAGAGAAAATCGCGGCTACAGTTGACTTCTCACGATAATCGATAATTTTTCGAGCATGCGTGGACCGTTCCAGTGAAAAAGAAAGTCGGTAGTGATGTAGCAGCAGCACTGAAATCTGTTTTGGTGAAATGTCGAGTACCAAATAATCTTAACATGGACAGAGGCAAAGAATTTTATAATGCAACTTTTGAAGCTCTCATGAAAAAATACAATATTTATCTCTACTCGACTTATAGTTCACTCAAAGCTTCAATATGTGAACGACTCACAATCAGTCGTACGTTGAAAAATGCTACGGATAAAATTTAGTCTACGCGGCAATCACAAATGGGTAGATATACTACGAAAGCTCACTGCTGCTTACAACAATCGTAAACACAGAACAATTGGCATGAAACCTATTCAAGTGACAACGGTGAATCAAGCTCAAGTATTACGCAATTTCGTTCAAGAATGTATAAGAAGGGGGGGCAAAGTTCAAAGTTAGTGATAAAGTAAGAGTTAGTAATGCGAAGCAAATGTTTGAAAAAGGATATACACCGAATTGGTCTACGGAAATATTTACTATTGTACGTGTAGTTTCATCAAATCCAACTATTTATCACTTGAAAGATTATCAAGATCAGCCAATTCTTGGTGCTTTTTATGAGCAGAAACTACAAAAAATGAATCATCCCGATATATATCTGTTTGAAAAAATTATTAAAAGGCGTGATAATCGAGTGTTTGTAAAATGGTTAGGATTCGATAACTCGCGTAATAGTTGAATAGATAAAAGTGAACTGTAGAAAAAAAAGAGAGGTAGTCTTAACTTATGTATGTAGATTTAAGGATAAATAAATAAACATTTGATGTAGAAATATGATTGGAGTATTTATTTATCAATAATAATAATGTATCTATGAGCTACTAAATTCTATACAGTTTCCTCCTTGATAATTTATAAATAAATTAAGTTTATTGGCGTTGTCTATCAAACTGTGCATTAATTTTCGATTTTGTATAATTGTATTCGACAGCTTGGATGACAGAAACAGTTGAAATTCCTCGTATATCTCAACAATTATTTTGTCACCAAATCGTGTTGCAACTGGCTTTAGTTTGGCGATCATATATTGGCATCCTTTCGTCAATTCACTAACTTTTTCGGTGGGCTTAAATTCAACACGTGCAATAATATTTAGTTGAGTAAGATCCATCCGGAAAAGAAACAAATTATTAATAACGACTCGACTTGTAGAAAGGAAAAAAAATGAATTGTAGAAAATTTTGTATTTACCTCAAAGGTGAAATAATTTTTTTCTTTTTGTCTTTCAATCACTAAACTTTGAAATTTTAGCGACAAATCTAGCTTCTAATAACTTTATTTTTCTTGATGTAATTTGACTTAGAATATAATCAGAAGAAAAAGACTGTTACTGCTTACTGGTTGCTGCTGCTGCTGCTGCTGCTATTGTAGACGACTTTTTCTCGACGAGAATGAGCTTCGCAGTCCGTGGTTTCGATGTAACGTTTCTCCCATCCCATTCTCTACTCCCTTCTCCAAATTCATCGACGGCTCTTAGCAGTGACCAATGCTGGAGTAAGGGCGGCGGCAGTTGGCGACTCGACGGCGGCGACTGAAATGGCAGCTGGGAGCTTGATCGAGATCATTCCCAATGCTTCTATCTCCTCTCTTACCGCTAATGTAATACCGTAGTGACCCTAAGGAAGCGTTTCGGTGGTACCAGGAAGTAAGAACCGTTTGTCATCATACGCACTGAGCTTCTGAGTCTCACTGTATAACTCATGATGGCAAGATCTGATGATCTTCTGTGTTCTATTAATATTAAATTCTATTTAAACCTACAACAAAATCGTAAGACGACTTAAAACAAAAATTATGGACGAGCATATCAATCCAAAACCATCAGAAGTGATGGAGTGATGCACATTTAATAGAGTAAGACAAGGTGTAAATGAAACGGTGACAGATTTCGTAACACGCCTCAGACAACTATCCTTACACTGCAATTTTTTCCAACCTGGACCACGCTATCCGTGACCAATTCGTATGTGGAATTAAAGACGAATTGACCCGGCTGAAACTTTTTAAACTTGTGAGTTTGTCTTACGAAACAGTCTATAAAGATACTATCACAAGAGAAAACGCTATCAAGAACGCAGCTTAATCTAGCAAAACTTCGTTATACACTAACCACAGTTAAGAAAATTTTTATGTTTAATAACAAAAAAGTTCTAATTTACCGTGACGCCCTTGTTCCTTGAGTAACAGAGGAAAAAGGAGTTCACAAGGACCCAGAGGACATACGTCATGTTACTACTGTGGAGTAGACAAACATGCTATAAACTCATGCAAATTTAGACACTTAACGTGTAACTTTTGCAGGACGAAAGGACACCTGGAGAAATCCTGCATTAAAAAGAATAAAATTTCAAACAAATTCTTGGAAGAAGAAAACAGCAATGTCGATCTAGACAACAGCGTAATGACGGGGAGCAGAACAATATGGCAGAATTTTTCAACATAACCAATAGAAATTATAAGCATATTACACCAAACGTCGTGGCAAATCCGATGTTTGTTTCAGTTACAATTAATAACAAGCTGATAAATATGGAAGTTGAAACAGGTTTCTATTTTACTGTAATATCAGAGAAATTTATTAACAAAATATTTACGAACGCCGAAATTAAACATATACCTACGTGCTTGGTTGGGTATGAAAACAATAAAATAAAACCACCTGGTCAATTGCGACGAGACAAGGGGAGGGGAAAAGTGTAGTCAATTTTTCCGGCCTCGACCACTGCCAGCGGCGCAGTCAGTCGATGTATGCAGCTTTCATTTTATTTGGGCGGCAGCTACCGTTTCCTCGCGTTAGGAGGGCAGGTAGCGCTGCAGCATCGGCTGTCGCGTGGGCTTCCTGGTCGCTGTAGTTGTCGGGTGGTTTCCCAGCTGTCTCCTTCCTCGTCGTCGTCGTACGTTGACCTTGCGCAATCATCTACAGGAGATGAGAGAGAAAAGGGAGCACAAAGTCCTAGACTGAGTTGTTCGAAAGAAAATCAAACGGAAAAAGGGGAAAACGGGTGATTTAGCCACCCACGGCTGCGGCTCGATGGCTAGTCAGTGATGTTCGGAATACGAAGCTCTTGTCTCAGAAGCGGGTACATCGAAGCGGCGTCTCAGGACGCCTCGTTGACAATCCAATAGGCAGGAGAGGATCCCGATCGACCGGTTATGTGGCTTGTGATAGCGATTGTCGAAATAGCAATTAATTCATATAAACGCGTTCGTTAATCTCGGAACCAACCGCGAAAGCTACGGGGGAGGAGGTAATCAAATGGCAAAGTCAATAATAACAATGAGTTAATAAGGACTCGAGTTTATTAAACCAACTTATTTCCCCGGGTTAGCCGAAGGTCAATCGCTCACGATGGTCTACCTAATCTAACCTGGTAGGGGCGCGAGTGGTGCAACATGACGCGACTTCGACTTGGGTTGACGATAGTTGATGCGGACGGTCTCAAGGATTGCGAACGCGATTACTCAATGTCGAACTATATAGGCGGTTGCGATCACGATGCTCTCAGGAAGCTCGATTATAATCCGCTTAGCAAAAACATGGATGATGCACATAGTGCACCATACGGCTAGCCGCGAGGCTGGCTAGGTCACTTTGTGCAAAAATCTTTTGTCAAAGCGACGGACAGTAATTGTCTTCCTCAGCAAAGAACGGAGACTCCTCAAACAAATAACTCGTTGTTTTTGGGAGAGGACGTCGAAAACTTCTCTCTTTTGTGTACGGGCATATACAAATGCTGAAGTACAAAATGCGTCACCGATTGCCCTCGACAAGCAACTAATGCTAGTCGTCCCGAAGTGAATGCAATGTATATTTGAACGAAGACTTGCAATCACAAGTGCGGATGTGTGTACCTTCACGCGGTGGGGCTGAAAACGCTGTCTCTGTAAAGAAACAGTAGACAAAACACACAACGCTTGCCCCCAGGGCAATAGGCCAACCGGCCAAGTAAATGAAACAACACGGACCATGACAACACGTGGTGAGGTGCGGCCTGTAAACGCCCAAACATTCATCGCGGAGTCTACCACACCCCAAGAGCTCAACTCGAGCCCAGAAAAGCCAAAATCCGGGAGTCACTTGAGGGGAAATCTCTTAGGATTGTGGTACCGCGCGCCCTCTTAGAGGACGGGAGACCGTTCCGGGAGCTAGTTGCAGAGGACCAATGGTCCCGGCAATCCGAATTTAATTCGGGTAGATAAGAAATTACTTCCTATCGACTGGCAATCGGTAAGTGCCACTACTGTGGGTAAAGAGTCGCGGCCGTGGTCATAGCAGCCACCCAAAGTTCTTTGCCTCGAGCTCCTGGAGTAAGGCCCGATACCTATGTGCGAGAAAACAGTCCATTGGGCCGAGTAACTCTCGATGACTAGAACGCACTACGGATGCCGAAACCCTTAGGAAAAATATTTCCACAGAAGGGCAGCATCCTTCCTGCTAAGGAATTCATTAAGCCCTAATAGCTAAAACAACTTTACATTTGAAAGCGAAATTAGTGGCTGTCAGCTCCCTTTGAAAGCGAAAACCATGCACTAACGTCCATCAGATCCAGTGCTGCTAATGGCGAACACAGGCTAAGATGATAGAAAAGGCGGAAACCCGACATGCTCACTCAAATGCTACTTTGGTTGCAATTCGTCAAATACCTAACCCTGACTTAACCAAAACGAGGTTTGATTAATCTCAAACCCAGCGTGAAAGATAAACACGCTGGTACACTCGTAAGTAGTTTTAAGTTATATTATAATTAAATTAGTTCTTAAGTAGTTAACAATAATTTAAGTAGTAATATAAGCAGTAGTGTAGTAAATAGTATTAAGTTAGTTACAAATCAAAGTTTAATTAAAACTAAAAATAAGAAAGAAAAAATTACAGATTTAAACCTACAGATTAAAAATCTAAATATCAAATCAAAAGAAATAAAATAAAATAAAACAAAATCAAAATAAATAATCTAATAATAGATTAAAAGCTAGGAAAATAACTAGCTAAATTAATTGTAAATAAAAGAGCCATGGGAAACCATGGAGAAACCCGACAAGGTAACTAACCAAGCTCATGTCAACACACACACACAAGTACTCACTGCTCGCACTCGAACGCCACTCGCTTAATTGAACGCGCACGTTAACGCCAGAAATAAAATTGAAAGCCACCCTCCAGAATCGCCAGCAGCGATTCCAAAGGAGGAAATATATAACTAGACATTGCGTTGTACCTTGA